ATCTGGGCCTCCTCAAACTTGTCCTCACAGCACCATGAGAAATCGGCCCAAAAGGCATTCGCCGTTTTACGGATGATTCAGTCAGCGCACCTTCTCCCGTAGTACTCACTTGGACTTTCAAATACCCTATGGGGCATACGTCAGACCGCTTCCTGAATATACCAACCAAGTTGTTTACTCAGGATGCACGAAGGACGTCACCTTCATTGAGCGCGTCCAGCGAGTCGCTACGAGAATGGTTGCCAGCCTCAAATCCGCGGACTGCGAAACGCGTCTCACGGTGCTGGACCTCTTTCCCCTGGCGCATCGTCGCCTAATTCTTACCTATGTCCTGTTGGAACAAAGCTTGGCCAACAGGTTTTTCATCGTTAACCCAGCAAACACACGGCGGGGACATGTTACGAATTTTTCCGAGCTCAGAGCGCACACATTCATCAGGCAATTTTTTTCTCATTTCGAATAGTAGCTGCGTGGAATAGCCTCCCTGCAACAGTTGTCCGCGCTTCTTCTAGAACCCTGTTGAAAGAACTACTGGACATGGATTTATGCGAAGCCTTGCGCAGATAAGCATACTGCTCCGCGCTGAGCGCATAAATCTCAGTGCTTCAATCTTTTTTGCACTTGTGCCTTTCAGCTGAACGGTAGCCGCTGAAAGACGAAATCGAAACCGATCCGGTCAGCTTGGGTGGATGGGTTGTACCAATGCGTTAATAGGTGATAGCGTGCGATTGAATGGACAGTTTCGAGAGGTGCATTCATTCGGATTGTCACGAGGGGTGGAGGGGTTTGGTACGGAAAGAGGTGGCGGGTGAGTGTTGAGTGGTGGCGATCGAAAATGCTCAACAAGTGGGAAATAAGTTGAGGGGCAGGGTGGTAGAAGCGCTTAAGTGTCTGAGCTGGCGGTGTGTATTTGCGGATGAAAGGTTTTAGCATGCATGTAGTACGTGTGTTCTGATGTATATGTCGTGTAATCATGAAGAGATGGGATTTTCTTGTGAAGAACGAGAGACGGATTCTCGAGCTGCAGTTGGGATTGGCGTTTCGTATCGAGATCTTTACAATAAACAGTTGACCCTGAAGGCGTATTTTTGCGGCGGTGGAACGTGGAGAGACAGTGGGTCAGAGGTTCTTTGACCGAAGCATGTGTTGTCAACGACTGGTGTAATCACTGCTGTAGCTGGAAGACATGCCGCACCAGGCGCTTCGGGAACTTAAGGGAGTTCTCCCGGGCTGTAGGATAGCAAAGCGTTATTTTGCAGAAGATATAGAGGGTCCAAGGTCTTGTAAAGCTATGAAACCAGAGGCTACAGAATAGTTTTCGATGGATTCTTTGTTTGGGGCAATCACAGCGCGCGGTGAGTATCAGGGTACTAGTGGAGCGTCCACGTAATTAGTGGCGGTTGATGGCGCAACAGGCTTAGGTATGAATGCATAGACGACCGGATTTACAGAGGGGAAATCCGGTCGATGGTTTGTGATGTATGTTCGTGAGTTTCGTTTATTGATGCTTCAGTAGTCTACACGCTTATGGGGTTGATCGTCCTGATGACCATATGGGATGTCGCGGTGGTTTGAGGACCGGTGGAGTCGATTTGGCATCCCGGATGTGGGGTATGATAGTTGTTCTGAAAATTACTGAGAATCGGAGCATCAGGATGGATCGTGGTTTCAAAGTAATGATTGGGCGTGGATACTCGGCTGTCCGAGCGTTATTAGGGACGGTTGAGGGCTCAGCAGATTTCGCTGTCACCCCAGAGGAGGCCAGGTAATTAATCAGACTGTAAGCTAGAGCTTGATACAAGGGGGCTTCGTCTGTTATGCTCATATTTGTTGACGATGGACCGCCTTTCATGGTTGCTTGGGGAATCAGGAAAACAAGTCATCTGTGGATGAGCAACGTCTAATGCCCTAATTTGCGCAGATTGGTGAGTGGAGGATGGTTCGATCTGGAAGCTTCCAGTGACCGAATTGTGGGATGTTGGTGGAGACTTCTCGGTAAGCTGCCCGTGCATTTGAGTAGGAGCAGCTTCAATTAGTGTGCTTCGGAATTTTCCGGTAGAGAGGAACAGGGCCTATTATATGAGGAGACACGAGGAACCGTTTTCATCCACGGATTGCAGCACTATTGGACAGCACGTTGTTGCTTTCTACTTTCGCAGTCGTCGGGATGTTCGCGTAATGTCAAGCATGCCGCATGCGGTCGCATGGGCAGTTTTTGTGTGTTCAAGCAGCATTCAGTCATTCGGCGTGTGGAATGCCGTCACAAAGCCCCAATGTATAACACCTGTCATCGCATCCCGCTGGAGCGCGCAAAAGTTGCTATCCCGAAAAAACGCAACATGCTGGTCGCAGTCTGCACAGCTCGACGGTTGCGAAAGTCGAAACCACCCCGGAGTTGCCCAACACCAATGCGATTCAGAGCACGCCAGCACACCAGGCTCTTCTTTCCTCTATCCAAACACAACAAACCATAAAGACCGAAGCTCCTGGTTCCCGATTGCAAAGGCGACCTTCAAAAAATTCACACTCCAAATCGGTCACTGATAACTGCTGAACGAATACCTCTCCCCTTCACCAATGTGCACCAGTCAGTACTTGGTGCAGACTTGGTCGAAGACATGCCACACAATTAACCCCTTGGACAACTACGGAAGCCATATAACCGTTAACACGTGCACGTAGCAGGCGAAGAACCTTCATTTCAAACAGCCGTTCGGACTCCATTCTGCCTCTCCTTGTGCCGAAGCTGACGTGTAATTCCTAAAATCTTGATGGTTAAGCGCTGATTCTCTCCAAAATCTTAATTACCCCGGTGTTGCTCCCTGTTCTTACTCACTACACCGCGATACCGATTTGTGCCGCGGCGAAAGACAAGCCTGATTGATGGTCTTCAAGCCCTGCGTCTCCCTCTCACGATCATGAGCCCTTCACTTCTACCTTTAGGCAATTACCTATTCCACCTTTCAACTCCATCGCGCGAACAAAACTCACAGCTGATGTGATGGATGCGGTATCTTCTCAGCCGTTAAAGGGGACTGTAATCGAATGGGCTAGCACGGTACCTTGCTCCAGATTTTCTGACCTGATAATACTCCGCCTGTTCCCACCAAAGAGCTTCCCCGGGTTTAAAGTTCTGTTGTCAAAGCCTACTACTTCAACGCCCTGTCCCGCACAAACTTCCCAAATTCTTACTTTGTCCCTTGTTTAGAAACGTGACCGTACCAAGCACGGTACACAAATACACCTGTCCCATACACCATGCAAGCTTTCCATGGCAGGGTCCATAATCCACAGACGCCGTTACCCCTTCTCATACTCTATCAAGTTCCGCCACCTGGCGTACATCACACTATTTCCCTGAGATATATTTTCCGTAGTCACCTATACAACAACTGCCTCCAGCTACACCGAACCCACACGCAACTGCACCTGTATAACCTCACATTCACTACGACTGGTGGCCAACTCTGACCATCATCTGCATCCATCGCGCGGCTTACCCACGTTCCACCAAAAATGAGCACTATTTTTGGATGCCGCCTATCACTCCATAGCTATCATCTATTTCTGCACCATATGCCTTTCCACACCTCACGACGCTGAAGGTGATAAGGCCGTCAGCTCCACATTCAACTGCATGTTCTCCTCCGTAAGAGTCTCTACTCTCTGGTTTGGCCCAGCTTTCAGAACGTTTTCACCGACTATTGTCCCGCCCACCACCAGCGCTGATTGCCCCTCCATTAACTCCATACACACGCACATACACACGCTTCATTTTACCCCACCTCCACACACCAAGTGCCACTAGCACCAAAATCCCCTAAGAGAATCACAAGCGAAATATCCACGAAGATTTAACAGCTGCAGCTAAACCTCACGCAGAACACCGCAAGTCCACATTACAATGCTACCACTACCACACATCCAACTTCGGCAGGGCGGAAATGCGGACAGCCTGTAACCAAATGCCACTTTACGGAGAACGATATTAATAACAATGGGTTTATTCCTTTACCCGTAAGGGACACGCCAATAAAGGCATGAACGCGGCGGGCAACAACACAATGTAGTGGAAAGCACAACCGACAGGCTTATTACATAAAAGTCGCCATAATTGTAGGAACCAAAAAACTGGAACGATGGGGTATGGGGCACCACGAGGTTAATAATGTGGCCGGTCGACTTAAAATGAAAAATCGCTGCTGGCAGTGAGTGGTCTTTGATTGAGTTAGTGACCAGGGTCACGAGATAAACCACAAAAGGTATGACTTAGGGTAGCGGAGGAAACTTCCTTCAGCCTAACCAAAATACCAGCCTGATTCCTCATTGATCGGTCAACGAATGAGATCTTCCTTCTGCTTGGAGGAAACACTGTCATAACATTCCGCTAGTAGTAGCTGCAGACATGCTGGCCTCACCAGTGTACTATGCAGGGCGATGCATACCATTTTAGGCGAACCACACTAAGCCACTGCTTCATCAAATTGCCGGATAGATCCCTACAAAAACATTCCTGTGTGACGGGTATCCTGGTGATTTTGGGCAGCCCACCAAAAGTCAAAGTAAACGGACTTATACAACAGGACAGACCTTCTGGCTAGCTGAAGTAGGTCTGCGGAATTCCCTGGGTCTCGCTACACCAAACGTTCTAGATCTATGAACTTCAAGATATATTCCACACCGAATCACTTCTAAGTAAACATGGAACCACCTACCCTTCAAAAAGTGTTCAACAGCCTTGTCCAAGAACCGTCCGTCTCTTTCACCTTCGCGGGTGACTTTTTGAATGCTCCATCTTACGCTAACCTTTACTTTCTCCGGATGGCCTGAATCATTAAGGTGCAAGCGCCAGCGTAATTCAAATGGCTATGGACTCCGCAAGCCAGCTTTATCTAGGTTGACATCGTAATCTGAATGGCAATATGACCGTATTTCGTTTGAAGTGGACGTGGCGAACGCCTTTGTCATGTGCTTCTTCCGAGGGGACCTAATTCTTACTTATGCCCTGTTTGAACAAAGCTTGGCCAACAGGTTTTTTACCGCTGACCCAGCCAACACACGGCGGGGACATAGTGAGAAAATTTTCAAGCTCAGAGCACACATTCATTAGACAAAATTTTTTATCATTTCGGGTTGAAGGCGCGTGTAATGACCTTCCCCCGACGGTTGTTCACGCTCCTTCTAGAACCCAGTTTAAAGCACTGTTAGGCACTTATTTATGTGAATCTCCGCGCTGGAAAGCATACTGCCCCGCGCTGAGCACATAAAGACCAGTGCTACACCCTTTTTTCACTTGCGCCTTTCAGGTGAACGACAGCCACTGACCGCCAGAAACAAAAGCGACCCGGGAAACTTGGACAAAAGGCTCGATCCTGTGTATCCATCCGTGACTCCGTGAATGGACTAAAAACTATCACTAAGCTGTAAGCCGTAACGATAGAGGCATGTATCTCTGTCCAAGCACATTCTCCTCACTCCACCACAGTCGTCAGGGCTGAAGGAGTCCCTCGTTTTTTGGATGATTCGGCGCACCTACGCCGCATCACCAGCATGTTATTGCGGATGTCCGCCCAGGCTGGTGCAAGGTGGCGTCAAATGCGCCAGATAGGACTCGGGGAGGAGAAAGTCGTCATTACGCGTATCTGGCTAGGTACTAGGGCGTTTTCCAGCCCAAAATCTACTGACAGTGAAACATGCTTGTAGGTTAATGTAACACGAACTGTCGTCACCTTAGAAGAGAAGTAATGCATAATTTTACCACTTTTAACAAAGGTCTGAGTGCAAAGACTTTTCTCAGAGTCCATAGTAGTGTGCGGCGTAAACGATGTAGAGCATTTCATGGTTAATTTGGTATCAGTTTTTCGCATCCCGGGTAGCCTGGGATTCCAAGCTGACGGTAATACGCTGAAAGCTTGAAGCGTGCTACCTCCCATTTCTCAGCCCGCGCCCCACAGATGGACGGAGGCCGCCGAACGACTGGAATAGACTCGAATCGCTATACACTTGCAGACCACTCAGACCAGCATTTCATTCGTAAATCTGTGACTCGATCTGGAGAGAGGTCGAAGTGCCGGTGAATATATTCTACAGCGACTGCTGAAATAAACCAGAAATAGATGAGCACTACAGTCCATTTCGGTGTCCTCCATCTTTCGTATTCTCCCACCGGAATGGAATCAAACTGGGCTCTTTTATTCCGCTAGTTCGATTTTTTTGGCGGGTATTTTGGTTTGGGCGCTTTCGCTATGGCGAAGTGTTACGATTACCTATTTAAGCTGTTACTGATTGGGGATTCTGGTGTTGGAAAGACGTGTTTGCTGTTTAGATTCTCAGAAGATGACTTCAATTCAACATTTATTGCCACAATAGGTAACGTACCTGTGGTTTTTGAAGAGTTCTCGCAGGAATCGACTTCAAAATACGAACAATCGACATAGACGGGAAGAAGATAAAACTGCAAATTTGGGATACAGCCGGACAAGAAAGATTTAGGACTATCACTACAGCCTACTACAGGGGCGCCATGGTACGTATTCACACTTTCCTAGCGAATGAATTTTTAGGGTATCATGCTCGTTTATGACGTTACAAACGCGAAATCCTTCAAGAATATTAATCTCTGGATGCGGAACATAGACCAGGTTTGTCACTTGTCATGTCTGTTGTGTGGCCAATAATGTTATTCACGCTGAATCTTCTGCGCTCTGACGCCAGTAATTAGAGTTGGTCATGACGGCGCGTCTTCACTCAGGGCTTTAGCTGACTGGTGCATCTATCCGGTTGGTTTGTTTCGTCTTCTTTGTGCCCTTGTTGTGTGCTAGTAGGCATAAGTGCCGTCGCACTCGGAGGTTGGATATCCTACCTTACTTCTACTCTTCGGCCTTTCTCTGCCACGACAGCTTCCGGTTGTTGACCAAAAATCATGATGTTCAGCTCGGGTTAACTACGTGTAGCAATATCATTCTCATACAGAGCAGTATTTTTGGTTCTGGGGTGTGTCTTAGAAGGCCCCTGAATCTAATTTCAGGTAATCTGTACGGAAAATTCTCTCGAGCAGAGTACAAACACTGTTTGTGAACTCCTGAAGCTGGCGAAGTCCTCTATTCCGAATTCCAAAACTCCACCGCCCCACGCCCTCTGAGACAATTGCTGAGTGGTAGGTAAACCAGGAGTCGACAGAAAAGGGACAACGTGGGTTCACCGCTATATGAAACGAGCTACTCATTTTTCCGCGCAACAAATCTCTTACTGCTGGTAGCGATCCACTTCGTTTGTGTGTGCAAGTCACGGAAGACAGTGGACTGAAGTGTGTCGGTCTTTGCACGTTAACTTGCGATGGAGTCAGGAGGCGAGATGCTGCTTTAGCAAAGAGCCTAACATGCTAGCAACCGGACCTCTCCAGTTTGCATTCTAGACAGTTTAAGCCTGGCTATCCACTTGCTGTTTACCGGACGTCTCTTCTGGTAACTCGAGCTCACCTACCTGTCGACGCCTGGGTTCCTGTCTTGAGCCTCGAGCCATAACTGTCTTGATTCCACAAATGGCAAAATGTGTGGTCTTGCATTCAGGTTGGTTAATAATCATCTTGGGGGCTTCCAATGTGACAATTTAGTGATGAGTAGGAACCTCATGGATTTTCTTCCAGACGTTATATTCTGCTGGCAATTGGCGGACGGAATGTTCGTATCGGCCAATTAGACGACTTAACCAGTAAGATCGTCTGCAAATCCGGTTTTCGTTAGCCTTGAGAGGACGCCTCGTGCAACTCTCAGCGGGATGTGCATTTCTAACGCGCGCTTTCGCCATCCAAGAAGACGAACAGGCGACTAGATGGCCTTTTCCAGTCGCGATGCTCATCTCGTGGGGACTGTCGCTCTTACCGAGGATCTGAAGCTGGGGTCAGATCTCATTAAGTTATGCTGCGGGAACGTTGTTCCCTAAACCATCGAATGCCGAAATATTAAAAAAAAACCGGGAAGGAGGTTGAAGCCAATGTTACACCGTCTTCCCTGTAAGCGGTTGAGAAATAGTGGCTACTTCTGGAGATTAACTCAGCATGCACTTTCTAATTTAATAGACACCACTTCGCTGTCAGGGACGTTAGGTTTTGAAAGAGCACGTTGCCCCTTTTCGTAGCATCCAGAACGAGCTCAGAACAGAACTCAAAGGTAGCCGGGCAGCAAACCGGACCCAGTCTGCTGCCAAGATAGCGCAAGCATACGTATCATGGGATCTCTAAAGACTTCGACGGTCTTCTCACCGCGGGTTAGATATTCGTGAGGTACAGGCAGGATTCTTGACTCTGCTCCATGAGGACGACTAAAAATAGTTTTGCTGACATGTACACTAACCATCAACGGTTAGTCAATCAAGTTCTAAAGTTCATGAGAAGTGTAACAAGGCACTGAAGTTTTACCATTATCGCTCAATCTGACAACCGACTGCGTTACTGGAGACTCGAATTACCCGGAAGTTTTATTTTCGTTTGTGGTACATGTCAAGCTGCCCAGCTGATAACTTCCATGCAGCAGTTTGGAATCCGTCTCATCTTTAGTGTGGAGCTCTACATATGCCTGTCGGATTAATACAGTCTTACCAAAAGCAATAACTTAACTGCAGTAACCGGTGCTTGGCTATCATGCATTTCGAAGAAAACACAAGGACGGGATACTTCTGGATTGCCAAAACCGTGGTTTCTTTGGGATCCCGGTCAGTAGTTCTACACCGTAGCAGCTGAGCTGTCTCGAACTCACATTATTCCAACGATTCCCGGATCCGAATTTATGGTGAGAAATCTTGGGGCCTCGATGATTTCCCAGGATGTCCCTTATCCTCAGTCTTACTGTATCCCATATCACCATCATCATCGGATACAGCAACATCAGTGTTGACACTGATGCTTCACTGGGGTACAACCACAAAACATCAAATTATATTTAAGGCCTTAGAGTGAGAAGAAGAGAAAAAGAATGGACGAAGGAGGGGACCTAGAGCCTTGCTGTGTCAAGCATTCTGAGGTGCGCACACTTCAAAGCGCTCAGTCGGACAATCTAGAAAGAAACTGACAGCAAGAACGCTACTGACATTGATCAGCCAACACTTCTTGCAGTGTCTCCAGCCAAGCACAGGCGGAGTCACTGGGACCCCATCCTGGAAGTCTCACAACACCGACAACGCCCAAGCTCTTCGCAATCTCTTTCACGCCCTTCTGCCAATTCATTCGTCGCCCACCTCGCGGTTTCCGCCATTCTGAAGGAGGCACGGAGAAAAATCGTCTCGATAGATAGTGTTTCGATATGCATAGCGCATGACCGAGTCACCGCATCTGATGTGCTGGATGCTTCCCGCGATTTAAGTACCTACGGCACAACCAAATACCCTTGTTTATAATCACTTTGTTACTAATCCACTCACGCCATCCAACACCAGAAACGGTTCTGAGACATGGTCAGAAGCCTGAAGAGGCCTGACAATCTGTCCGTAAAGGCGACGTATCGCACCCATACAACAACACAGCCCCTACTATAGCCTAGTACACGTGACCCTTAAGCTTTATTGCTGTCTTTTTGATGCCACAAGTGATATGGAAACTAGTATACGTGATTCGAGCATTTGAGATTCTTGCACTGACTTCAGACAAATTTCCCTCACACCTAATAGAACTACTGAGGTACAAAAAGCTCTGTACAACCTCCAGTGTAAAGGGTTTGTTTAGAAACTGCATGTTCTGGAACATGAATGCACCTTGAAGGTGAAAGGCGCATGCCAAAAAATGGTATGATGGTGGTTAGCCTATTCAGGAGGGCTTGTGCTTCACTTTGGTCTTCAAAGATGAAGGTGATGTCTTCTGTACACTCCATAAATAATAAAAATAAATCGTTCAGCTGTAACAGCCTCCCGATACTTAGCTGCTATGCCACCCGAAGGAAGCACGGGGGCTGGGATACTGCCAGGTAGCCCAAGCCTAGACGGGGGAAGTCGAGAGGCAGGGGTCGGGTTCGAACCACGGACATTCCGACCAGTAAATTAGCCACCTCGTCCCAAGAGTGCTCTTCTAACTGAGCCGCTATGGAGGCTGTCCATGACCACATTCAAGGACTCCCAAGTTTCCATCTTTACTACATCAATTCAGGATTAATACAGAGGGCATTCGCGAAAGATCGATATCTGTCTCACCGTGGAAGTCACACACCAATAGTATGGGGCGTTCAGCTGTAGCACCCTTTCGGTGCCTAGCTGCCATGTCACCCGAAGGAAGCACGAGGGCTGGGATACTGCCTAGATGGGGGAAGTCGAGAGGCAGAGGTCGGGTTCGATCCACGGACCTTCTGGTCAGCAAATTCTCGCTCTAACCACTTGGACCATCTCGCCCCTCTGTACACTCCAGATCGGCAACGTTCCCACCGGCAACGATTTGAACACAGGGGTTTGAAGACCTCCCAGCTTTAGCCTCATTATTTTATCATTGACGAAGTTGAACAAGAATGGAGAGAGTGAACATCCTTGTCGGACACTACTTTTCGTGGAAAAGCTTTTGGAGAGCTCACCATATACTCACACGTCTTTCGCCTGAAGTCATCCCATCCAGTGGTATAAGACAGAGCTACTCTCTCTCGTCTTTCCCCTTCAACGCTGTTATTGATGTGCCGCTTGAAATCCCGTTCCCTGCCTCTGAAATCTCGGGAGTCGAGATGCTCCTGGGACATACCCTCACAGACATTGGATATGTGAACGATATTCTTGGTTCAGATCCTTCAGGAATGCAATAATAATAATAATAATCATCGACAGCATGACATCATTGTTTGACTCCGATGCAAACCATTTTAAATAATCTAAACAACTCTGCCGCATGGTTTACCATACGCTTCACACATGCAAAGTGTGAAGTGCTGCTACAAAACTGGGTGGGACCAAACCCAAACATCATGCACGCAGGTCAGCCAATCGACGTGGCAGATAAATTTGTTTACCTGAGCTGTTATAAGTTTCGGTAGACTGGGTGGAGATTAGATTACTTCTCGAACTGAGAAGGCCAAGGTAGCTTTTGCCAACCTCCTGCGCAGACGCGGTTTCCGTTTTTCTGTCAAGAGGAGAGTTTACACTGTGGCAGTGCGATCCATACTGTTTTATGGGTCAGGGACGTGGCTTCTACATACACGGGATATGTGAATTATGTCATTGTGCAACCAGGGGGCTCCTCGAAGCATTGGTCCGGTCTGGTAGGAACATCGGATTGGTAGTGTCGAGATACGCTAGGTAGTCTTAAGAAAAGGGAACCCTCCGACAATAGAAAAATTGTCCGGCCGTAGCGCCCTTTCGGGGCCTATCTGCTATAACAACGGAAGGCGGCATGAGATGTAATACTCCCAGGTTACCGAAACCTGAGCGGGAGCAGTCGATATGTGTGAGGTTGGGTTCGAACTACGAACGTTCCGGTCGGTAAATTCGTACCCTAACCACTGAACCATCTCGCCAGAGCTCTACCACTTTTGAAATGCATACCGCCCTGGTGGGGTGTCTTGTCGCGGTGGATGAATGACTTTCTCACTACCTCGTGCCTCCTCCCGTTGGCATGGCAGCTAGGCGCCGCCAGGGGGCTACAGCTTAACGATTTAATTTACAGTACACAACTGAAGAA